TGTTGTTTCAGTAAGTGATGTCATTACTTGAAACAACAAACGAGCAAGTCTTGAGAGGAACTAATAGTTCCTGGATAACAGCCAGCGATTCCGAGACGAAGTTCCGAAGTTCGGAACTACGTCGGACTAGTTCGGAATCCGAACTACATCTCGGAATCGCTGGCTGTTATTCAGGACTCCCACACATCAAGTGCTGGTGGTTTCCGATTCTCCGACTTATCAGAGTACTATGAAAAGAAGACCGCGACAATTCAGCGCGCCAGACTTCGAGAAGATCTTGGATGCTGCCAACATGGCCACGACTGAAGGCGACGAGTGGAAGAAGCATCGGAGAGTTTCTTCACGGCCTTTGACGGAGAGTAACTTGAACAAGCTCATGCCCATGATGGTCGCCGTTGGGGAGGACCTGGTGGGATCCGAACCAAATCAATAGTGTCAATCAGTGGAGCTGGTGAATCACAGGTTACGAAAATCAAAGGATCTGCTGACAAGCAAGGAACTGTCATTTGGCGTCCGGTGGAAGCTTTCCAACTGTGTACTTCACGAGTCGCGTCAGCTGTCTTTATGGGCGAAGACGATCTACTTCATTCACAAGGTGATTAGCTGGTGTTGGTATCTTTGGAATTCATCGCAGATCCATTGTTCTCCGATGAGGTGCAGGACGAATTCTTGAAATTCATGAGAGATGTTCTTGAGATAACTATGAAGCCCACTTGTATCTTCTACTATGACAGGTTACTCTATCGAATGATGTTCCCTGGTGTCAGAAAGGTACGTTGATCGCTAGAGGATAGGGATCCCCTATTAGCAAACTGGTGTGTGTTAATCAGCTCGTACAACGCTGGGACCGTCTGAGGTCGAAGATCTTGGATTCTACTCACGTGAGTGTGGTGAATCGCCTGGAACGTCCCGGTCCTTGCAAGAGCCTCCCGACGTGTGCTGGGGACCTATACAGTGAAACCGAGATCGCACATGCGTTCGCAATGTAAGACTCATGGTGTAAGGTTAACCAGTCTTATAGGTACTGAGTCAGGTACATAGGAGGCGGGAGCGAGACAACTGCCAGTGCTGTGGCTTGGTTACTCAACAACTTCTGCGTTTATCCAGAAGTTCAGCAGAAGGCCAGGGAGGAAGCTGATTCTATTGGTGACATTTCAGCCGACTCTATCTGCAATATGCCATACATTGAGGCTTGTGCGCTTGAGTCTCTTAGAGTGAGTCGTTGTGAGAAAGATTTCTCTGTCGAAGGGATCCCCGTCTGTCTGGTGTACTCAGCTCAATCCCTCGGTTCCGGTTAGTATCAATAGGGCGCTCGTCGACTGCGAAGTGGCGGGGTTGCCAGTAAAGGCCGGAACTCAGCTCATCTTCTTGATTTCCCGCATTATGCGGGAGAACTATGAGGAGGGAGATAAGTTCATGTGAGTCCATGTCACGGACTCCGTGACTTCTGAGACAACCTGTCACATGTTTTGTCACCGACAGCACATTCCACCACTGCCCTTTCGCTTAAGGCAGGATTCTATGCTCAGGCCAGAACGCTGGCTCACCCAGAGTGGTGGTGCGATCGATGAGAAGATGCGTTCGGAGTTTTTCGCTTTCGGCTTCGGCCCACGGAAATGTCCAGGAAGGAGTCTGGCTCTTCGAGAGATTATAAGCAATGCGGTACTCCTTCTCCGTAACTTCGACGACTTCCGTCTCACTGAGGATTGGTCTACGTCCCCAAAATTCTCCAGTACATTGACTACATGTCCACAGAACTTGGTTGTGAAGATGCGGTGTCGCCATGCAGCATGAATCCTCCAGGAGTTGCAGAAATAATATTAAGTGTCATGTGTGATGATAAGGTCTTGGGTAACAAATAGCGAGCAACTCTGAATAGCCGAAGTTAGGCATTGTCCGGTCGTTCTGATGATGATCATATTATATGTTATCTGTTCTTGTTTATTGACTCAGGAGGCCAGAGTAGATTGTCTTAACAAGCTTTTTTTATCGAAAAAATATTTATCGATATATTTTTTGCGAACTACTCATTGTTGTCTCTTTGACATCACAAACGAGCACTTTCTCATACATGGATGAAAGGCGATGTTTTCTTGAGTCAGCAGTCTTAACGAATAATGAATTCGAGCCGTAGACAAACCACGATAAATTACAACCGACTCGCTCAGATAAGCGCAGTATAGTTGTGAATCGAGATTGTTAAGAAGCTAACTTATAAACTAGATCCTAGAAGCTTCAAGTTCCGAAGTTCAGAGCCGCAGGTCTGCTCAGAATCGGAAAGAACAACGAGTTAGTTTCTCTCTTCATAGGAGAATCGATAGTATAATACTATCATACAATCTATCGATTTACTATCGTGAGACTCTATTTATAATATGAAGAATCTCTATTAGAGATCCCGATAGTATAGGACTCCTAGAATAGGAGGCCTATAAAATCGAATGAACACCATTGCCTTCCAGTGCTCGAAAACGTCCAACTCGAGTTGTATGGCATCGTTCCTGTCGATGTGACAGGAACCTTGACTGCGGAGAAGGGAGATCCATGGGCACGGTGTTGCGATGGAACCAACGAAGTCGGCGATCGTCGTTAACGGCGCAGTAACAAGATAGATTTTCGGGCATGTTCTTAGATTGAACACATACAGAACATATTGTGTTCCAAGCAAGCTGCCGCAGCCCCACGTGACGAGATAAGAGGTCCTCCCTCGTGGAGAAGTCAACAAAATGTGAGCGCTAATTTAGCGCCGCTAATCCCGGCCGCTGCCAGCCCTATGGCTCACCTGAATCCATTATTTAGAGTCAATCATTCCTCGTCAATCCTTGATGATGTCATCCGGGGTCCGCACTCCAGATATTTTCTGCCCAACTCTCCCATATGGGCCACTGAATTGAACCAATACGATAACTCGAGGAAAGCCAAGGAAGATTTCTGATGCTTACTCGGAATCTAGGCTTTGGCCTTCACTACTTGGAAAGGTCATCCTATGCGGAAGTATTCAAAAAAGAACTAACAATATCGTATTGCTAGTTTCCTCTCGTACAATCACTCCAGCATGTGTTGTCCACTGAGATTGTGATACGCTAAGCTAGACATTTCCCTGACTGGAATCATAGACGAACTACTATTGAGTGTTTTATCAACTCCACTGTCACTATGCTGAGTTCGCTGTCGCTGAAATATCTGTCATCATGGTGCCAACTTGTGACCTACACGCGATCCACATCGACATGTTCAGGGAGGACAGATAATACCGAATGTAGGCAACAGTGACCATAGACTATATTGACTTCAGATTAATACTATAACTTCAGACTCCTCGACAGTCCCCCAAGATTGAAGACTGCATTATGTAGTCTGTGTGAAATTCCAGTCGATAAAGCGATAGTCTGTCAGCGACAAGATTGCACACGTACCGCGAGTCTTTCCACATAAACACGCAGGGCTCGCGCGTTGCATGGCAAGAATCATTAAGCCGAACAATAGATATAGGCTGAATTGCTCATGGTTGCGATGTCAAAACATGACGGTCGAATTAGTTTTTGCCGAGACTTTAAAACACATGTATGAACTATGCAACATCAAATACTTCTCGGGAAGGCCCTTTTCAAATCCCCTTAAAGGGGATTGATGCACACTCACGTGTCGGAAAGTTCCCGAGAGGGGTGCAGTGCACCCGTGCGCACATGGAGTTGCGCGAGTGAGTATGTGTGCAAACTTCAACATCCATAAAACTAACAAGTTAAAATACCATCGATAACCGGCTTGTGTATGAACCACCAAGGTAAAAGAGCTCCACCAACCTCATTAGGGAATGGAGTTCGGAGCATAGACAAGTACTCGAGAAGATGAGCCCACTATCATCAGAGTGGCTCTACCGATGAGCGTGTTCACAGAACATTCGCTTGTGGGCTCTTCGTGATGACAATTCCACACATTCTTTGATGTTGCAAAGGCAGAATAAGAACAATGAAGGATGAGAGTATCCAAAGGATGAAGGAGTGCGCTGCGACTAAGTAATACTACAACTATAGCCCTATGAGGGCAGATTATCGCAACAGGGATGTTGATAAGGAACAACTGTCGAGACATAGCTCGAATCCATTGCTTCTCCCATTTTGTTCGGGATCATGCATTCTGTGTGTGATAGTTTCATGTCCGACGCCCAAGGGCTTAGTCACACATGTTATAACCATGGTTGATGAAAGGGCTTTGTCACATAACTACTCACTGCAGCAGATTGTGTAACATTTTATAGAGAAAGACACCGAAGTTGCCTCGTGGATTAATCCATGAAGGCTAAGGCTTCTTGGGACATCTAGGCATCTAGATTCTAAGGGCACGATGAACCGGAGTGTCGTCTACCTCGCCATAAATGCCACACAGTGCGGATGTGCTTCGTCCGAAGCAAAAAATGTATTCCGCGTGGGACTCAGAGTGACCACCTGCCAGCGCCGAGAGACTTCAGTGTGACTGCGGAACCTTGCGAAAGATGAATGCAGTATTAGAGTCGAAAGGGATTAATCAGCATACAGAGCATTGAGGGAAGAAGAGCAAGGGATACTCTCCATGCAGTCTCGTCAAAGTCCATACTTTGCTGTGACTGATGACGTAGTATTGGATGATATCAAAGTCATGGTACTGATAGAGTCAAGTTATCGAGACGATCCGAGTTTACCGAATACAACGATGGTGATGTTGCTACATCAAGGAGTGGGAATATTGACCGTGTTAATGGGAAACACGAGGACAAGATGATACTGACAAGCCCAATGAGACAGACAATGCGACGTTGCTTGAGTATTCTATTGTGAATCTTCTTCGCTCAATAGATGGTCATCAGCCGGATCCGCTGGGAAAGGGTACGGGCCTATTAAAGCAACATCGATGCCACACCATGGTACGCCTCGCTGACCTGCCGCGTTGCTATACCCTTGAAAGTCGATATATGAGGCGCCCTTGGAGACGTCACTTTGGAGTTTCTTCAACACTACTGATCTACAGAGGAACAACTAACTATTAGTAAGCTCGGCTGGGGGCATGAACTTACGGTCTATTGTGTACTTTGAAACCAAACACACGTGGCTCAAAGTATGCAGGCACTTCTGCTGGGATCAACTTCGGCAAGGTCTGACAGCAGATAATACTGGTCAGAGAATCTCAGGAGAAATTCAAAAATGCGTGTAAATTTGATATGCAAATGTGAAATAAGGCTTCATTTTGCGAGATTAATGAGAATCGATCCGAAAGTATATAGCATATACGCTGTAAACATTACTATGAACATGTGATGTGCTAGAAATAACCTTCCGAGACTATGATAGCGACGAGTTGTTCACTATCATCAACCTTCAAATAGAAAACAGACATTCTCCACATTTGCATATCATATTGGCACGCACTGTATGCACCCGCCAGAATTCGACTATGATTTTTTTCAACGTTATGAACGGGATTTCCCTTCGGATTCTAATCTTGGCAGTAACTGAGGGTCCCACCTGGAAGAACAGACTAGGTAGAGATGCTCCAAAATAAGCACCATCAAGATGAGCATGCTTCTGCCGAGGGACGTATAGCTGCTCGCATTTAGGACAGTACAGCTGAAGCAGCATGAAAATTACCGCGCGCCACGAAATTGACCTACCTTCACAGGTTCAACCCTCAGCTCCTCCCCCACCCTTCCGGTTGGCAGCACATGCTGGCCGTTGCAATAGACGCGCGGACACGTACCGTAATCCCCTGAAAATAGCACCCAAATAGTATACACGATCTCTTCTACAGTGTAGCAGAATATGCACATGGTCTAAAAAAATTTCCACAAATTTTCGGAAACTACTGGAATTTCACCCTAGTGATATGAAAAACACTAGTGAGAAACATATTTCACGACTACTGCATAGCGCCGCGAACATCGCGTTTTTCGCCGAGTTTTACGCCACTTCACGTAAAACAGGTGCAACTCCATTGTTGGTTTTTGTACACTTCTCCCCCAAGTCGTTTGTGAATTTTAATAATGTATTGCGGAAATTCCTCAGCTGAAAAAAAACCAAACATATATTCCAGCACTGCTCTTCCTACCTCGCAGATATTTCTCCTTCACCACAGATAAGCCTCTAGGAGTAAGGCAATACCGCGCGTGTATCAAACCATACAGATCAACCGCTTCCCTGTAAATTTCCAGAAAATCCTGCAGAAATACGCGCAATCTAAAGCCCCGATCTCAACTTCTTAAATTCTAAAATTTCGTATAGGAACTCTCTAAACCTGATTATATTGTTTATATTAGAGTTTCACCCGTGATATGAAAGAAAACACTAGTGAAAAACATATTTCACTTCGCGCAAAAACGCATGTGAGTAG